GCCGCCATGGGTAATGCCACCTCCATCATTGGTCACCGTATCCAGTCGGAGGAACTGGATACGATGGGCTGTCGTACCGCTCACCACTGCTCCGACGTGCTTCTGGCATCGAAATGGCTGTCTGTCACTGTTGAGTCAGAGCCTGTAAGAAAGAAAATAGAATACGGAAAGACCTGAGGAAGGAACCGGTCTGCTGTGGGAACCCTAACCCTGAAATGTTGTGATACGACATCCGTGTTTGACTTTCGGGACGTGCACATGCAATTCACGTACTTGTAAGGCGAGCGACTATCGATATCCTAATGAAGTATCATTTAGCCCATATCGCCCATGTTCTTCTGTGATAATGAGTAAGTAGGCTGTGCAAAAACCTTGCACAGTTTAGGCCAATCGTATTATTACATTGCCCACTGAGTTCAGTTTGCAGCGTATGTTCCGAACTATTCATTTCCTCCGAAAAAACACCACTGATGATTGAAAACAACTCGAAAACACCAAATTATAGGGAGCAAATACAAATTGTTACTGCTGAATGCGTAAAAATATTCTGCACATCTTGGAAATATTTACGGCGACTTTATCAGGCATGTAGGATGACTTGAAAAACTTTAGACTGCGATGGATTTAAACATTGTTGATATGGCATTTGAAAGATTTCACTTATCTCATCTACGTGATTACCTGTGAAAGAAACATCGAGTAAAGTTGCCACAGTGCCTAAGCACTACTCCATGAAGATATGTGTGGGGAATAGAGGTAAAGCTCCACGCGTTCTTTTAACCTTGATGGAGATGATAGTTTCACGTTCTGGGAAAATAACACCCAGTATCTATTTATTATTTTGTCTTCTTACTGGGAATCGAACCCCAGTAGCCCAGCTCATAAGACGTCAGTGACAGCATAGCGCACCCCATGTATTTTTTCCGATTAGCTGAAAGTTTACTTGTTTCGTAATAAATTATTGTTATTAGTCTACAGCCCGATATGGGTCCTAGGTCTACAGGTGTACAGCTCCTAGTTTGGGAATGAAACAGTCGTAAGGTTTTTTTCACATTAAAAAATTCCATGCTTCGAGCGGGTTTCGAATCCGCGATTCTCTTGTTTAAGCGGCCAGAGATCGTGCACTTCTTACGTCGTCGCGCTGCCAGTCATTACATTTTACCTCACAGAATGAATAATTTTGTTCGAAAAAATTTCTGTGACATTGCACAAATTGTTTGTTTATAAGATTTTATTAGTAATCTGTTAGGTAGTATAGGTCTCGGAAAGAAATATTCAACCATATTCAGAACAAATCGATATAAGGTACTGCGGATATCATACAGTATTAATCCTAGGTCTTTTGTTGTAAGACGTCATTACTGTCTGTTGTAATATCGTATGTACACGGAACTTAAGCTGATAGAAAACGTCTCTGCTGTGTCCCATCTGTTTTGACGTGATGGAACCCAGCCAAAGACCGAATTATTGGTGGGCATTACACAATAGATGTGGTTGACTGTATGTTAGGCATTATTTAGAAGAGAGGGAAAAAGCACGGCGAAGCTGTCCCTCGAGGGAGTACTGAAACAGGTTTGAGATGGAAGAAGAGGTGGGAGTCCATGTTCTAGAACTAGTTCTCTCAGGAACTGCCAATAGTGCTTTTAGTTTACAGGATGAATTATGGAACGCAGTGGGATGGAGACAGGCTGGCTGTTCGAAGTTAACACACCGATGCCACGTCTAGACGAATTACATTGATTTAACTATTCTTGAACAGTGTAGCACTAACTGCCTTCCGTTTTAAAAGAAAGTCCAGTAGCTAACACCAGTTGGATAAGCCAACGCGCTCTTGGTTGCTGCGTTCAGAGTTTAAACGTGGCTGTGGTAGTTTGTGTTTTAATTGTTATATTGTATATTGGAATATGGAATTGACAGTAAAAGCTATTGCCACATTAAACACAGATGTCTTGGAAAATACTTGCGGTTTCATGTATTTTGATTCTTGGTCTCAAGATGTCAGAAAATGGAAATAGATCGGTGGTATTCCCGATCTGGTAATTGGCATGTATCTGAAGTAAATCTGTAAATTAAGTGTTTTTATACACCGGGGTAGTCCAGATTTTTTCTTCCCTCAAGCCAAGACGTTTTCCTGTTGGGCCCAAGGGCTAGAAAGCCCATCCTGACACTATATTTTTAAAATTAAAAGTCAATCTTAGTTCTTTAACAACACTTATTTCGAAATGAAAAATTACTATAATATATGCTTAAATATAAATAGTAGCATGTGTGCCATTTTTACGTAAAGCAGCAGACGAGACAAGAATCACGGATGTTTTTCTTCAAATTCTTCGGCGCAAAGAGAACAAATGAGCTGGTAGCAATTGGGAACAAATTAACATAATTTCTCGGGCGTGGTTTCATATGGTATCGGGTCGGATGTGGCCCGCGGGTCGCCAGTTCCACCACTCCGTTCTACATAGTCCGATTGCAGGAACTCGGTTATTACACATTCTCATGAGTTTCGTAACTACTTGAGCACTTATTATTGTAAAGGTTCGCCGTGTGTGGTAGGCAGAGTTTCCGACATGACTGCGTTAATCTGTTACGTCGGCTATACTCGATTGTTATTAATAAATAACAGATGGATTATCCGTCCTAATCAAATTTAACGGAGACTTGTAATTGGTAATGGAATTTATGTTTGCATTTGTACTTCAATTGCGGTTGTGCTTTGAGTGTTAATTCCATAAGGACGTAGGCTATTGTATGTATGTGGGACTAAGCACGTGTATCATAGTGGTAGTATACAATTCTGTGCTCCTATTTCACAAATCATGCAGTTCATGATGGCGTTTGCTGCATGATAACATGACAATAGTATTTAGCACACACCTTATAATTTAAATTCAGTTAATTTTCATCATCACTGAACTGAGGCTAAATGTACCGTTTAAAATATCTTCTACGTCTTCCTAATATTGTACTGGAACTGTTAAGCTTTAGTAATATTTGCTCTAAAATTCTTGTAAACAATACCCGATATGATTGAATACCTGGAAATATAAACAAAATTACTTCAATATTTGAAAATGTAGAGTGAATTCGGTTAATATGACGCCACGCGTTATTTTGCAGTACTCCGTACAGTGTCGATTTAGAAGCTTTTGCGCATGCGTATATTTCTTCTCATGCGTATCTAGGTTTTTTATACAGCCAGCGCGGGTGGTTTAAACTTTAAGTATATTCAGTGTAACAGATAAAGTCATGACAGCATGCATTTTAAAATTATGTAGCTTCATTTACCTGTGAAAATATTTTGAATGGTTGCGGCCGTCTTCCTTCGTTGATAAACATAATTACGAATGTTTTATTTTTACTCAATATATTTGAAAACTAACCCCGTCTTTTTTCTTCTTTTCCAAAAATGAAACTTGTGAAAATTCCGCAACACTAGGAAAACGTTATCGGCTCACGCTAATGTCACCTGCTATGAAGTTGGTGGATGAATGTTCCTTCCTCTATCTCGCTTCCCGTTTCTCTTCAGTCCACCTCTTTCTCTTCGCCCCCTTCACACACACACACATATATATACGTGCATCAGGAGAATGGGAGGTAAAAAAGCTGGAGGTTTGTGTGGGATGGGTTTGAGTAGGAGGATGGGGAACGGGGAGGATTTGCCCCTCACGGTTGCTAGGCTACCGCCAGGTTGGGTTGGAAGAGCCCACAACAGGGTGGGTCCCAAAAAATATGATCCTAAAGTGGGTGGCAGTGGTTACTTGTGTGCCTGTAGTTCAGTGATTCTGATGGGTTCGTGTTCTGTCAGTGAGAGAGAATCGTGCACTGTGGCTATGGGTACTGCTCAAAAGACAGGATCGAATCCTCGTTCTCCCCGTTTGTCCCTATAACAAGTGGACCTGCAAGTTTTGTGGCTCATTTCTTCAAAATTAATTGACCGACGATGAAAGATATCACAGTTCTTTTCCGTTAGGTTTAATCTGATTGCAGCTATATGTACCACCTGCTTTAAGAATCAGTGACTGCATTTTGTATTTACGGGTTATATATGATTCTCAGAGAAACAGATTATTTAACCTTTATGTACTAAATTTTAGAAGGGTAACTTTTAATTGTCATTATTTTACGAGAAGGATGGATCATGATGCATCATGAAGAGCTCCATAATGTGCACTGCTCTCACCAAATATTAGGGTGATCATGGAAAGGTGAATGAGATGAGCGGGGCATATAGCGCGCAGGGAGAGACGAGAAATGTACATGAAATTTTGGTTGAGAAACCTGAAGGGAAGAGACACTTGGAAGACACAGCCGTAGGGAGGAAAATATTAAAATGGATCTTAGGGACACAGAAATGAAGGACGTTGATTGCATTCATGTGGCTTAGGACTCGGTCCGGTGGCGGGCTCTTGTGAACACGGAACTTACCAAGAAATTAAACTCTCAAAGAATACGATACGGTATTAAAGTTTCATAGCCAAAATGTGACTACTAGCTTTGTGTCATTCAGAAAAGGAGTGGGTAGACAGTGGGTGTGAAGAACTAACGTCAGCAAGATGGAAGCAGAGCACCCGCATCTGTCTACCCACCACCTCCTAGGGGTGAACAAACTCAGGCATTATCTTCTATGACGTTTATATATGTATATGTTTTCTCGGTAATTTTTAAAATAATAATTTTTAATAAACTTCAGTCATGTCCGGAGGGACCATAAACATCCAACTTTACAACTCTCAAGTGGAAGACAAACTGATAATGATATCTGCCCTTCCTTCGGATTTTCTCAAGTTAAGTAGAGATGTTTACAAAATGTCCAATGAAGTTGGAGGTGGATTGGGGCCAGAGAGTGCATTCGCCCTGTTTCCCAGGTTTGAAACACTTCCGATGTCTCTGAAAATATGAATAGTTTTGCATTTTCAGTGAAGTCTGTATTATACTGAACGACTGTATTGTCTGTAGGGGAGAAGGGTGCTAGTTGTTACACGG